CCAAAAATGGTAACACTTTCTGGGGGCAGTCCCAATTTGTAGGGTTTGCGTCCCAAATTTGGCCCCCTATTCCCATGGGCCCTGGTCAAAAGTAGGCACTAAAAGGGAAATAAGGTGCCATTTTGGGGGAATTTGAGATGTACAGGAGAGTGCTGGACCCCAGAGGACTGAAAATACGGGCGACAGCAATAGAGGCTCTCAAAGGGGGCTTAGGAATGTACTGCACAAAGAAAAAGGAGAAGAGAGAGAGAGAAAAAGGGGAGGAGAGAGAGGAGAGAGAGGGGGGAGGGGGAGAGAGAGGAGAGAGGGGGGAGAGAGGGAGAGAGAGAGGAGAGAGAGAGAGAATAAAATACATGAAACGGAAGAAAAACACTTGATGAAATTGAAAGCGAAATTGACCAAAATCATTTTGGGGACATGTGGAAAAATTTTAAGTGAAAAAAGCCCAAAAATTTAGCCATCAAGAAAAGGTTTTTTTGGGAAAAAACTTTTTTTGATAATCTATAAAAAACCCCAAAAAAAGATTAAACAAAAACCAATTAGAAATTCAAGAAAAAATTTAAAACACCCTTTGAACGGTCAAAAAAAACAACCAAAAATCCTTAGCCCAAAACCCCCAACAAGAACTAAAGAAAGTAAATCATAAAATAAAAAGAAGGATGTGGTCTAGATAACATCAAAAAGAAATGCTGAAAAACGCACACCTGAGTTGCAAAATGGGCTTAAGTTGTTCAACATGTTTTAACTTGGCTGTTCCCCTGATTTTGGGAACCCGGGGGTCACCCCCCTATCCACAAAAGGGAACAAATCAGACCCCAAATAATTACAGGGGAATTTGCGTAAACAGCAAGGGGGAAAGGTTTTTGTAGCATCTAAATTTCAAAAATTAAACCTTTCTTCAAGAAAAAATGAAAAGTAAATGTAAATTGGTTTTTCCCCTAACCATCGCACTATGCCCATATATACACCTTAAACACTTTAAAAAACACGCCCACCAAAAAAAAGAGGGCAAAATTTTGCTTGCTTATGATTTTAAAAAGATTTGATTTATTTGGAGAAGGGTATTGTAAAAAAATTCTCCCAAAGGGGGTTTGGTGAGGTGTTTGGACTTAAAAAGTAGTACACAAAAAAAAAAATGGGCAATAAAAATAAAAAACCCAAAGAAATAATTTTTTAAAAAACGTCGGGGTGAGACAAGGCTGCATTTTAGTCCAAATCTTTTCAACATTTATATAAAGAATTTGCAGACTGTTTGACAATTCTCCAGCCCCAGGACCACATATTTGAACAGAGGTAAAATACTGCAATGTGATGATTGGCTTCTATCCCCCAACCAAAGAGGTCTTAAACAGAACCTTCACTTTCTAGAGCAAATTGCAATAAGGGGGCCCTGGCATAAATTAAAAAAAAATAAAATATGTTTTCCAAAAAAAAAAAAAGATGTCAGAAACACAAATATAAATTCACCCTGAAAAACACCATAATGAAAAAATAAAAATTACACATACCTGGTTGACCTATTGATCGGGAAAATTTAATATGGCAGGTATGACTCAAAGAAAAAAACCGCAGAGCATTGATCAAAAAAAAAATGAAATTTTTCAAAATAACACCCAATTTGAATTTTGGGCCAAAAATTTGACAGGTAACCACCAATAGCCCTTTTTCGGGAAATGAGGTTTGGGGGGCCACTCAAAAACTGGACTTTTAAAAAAGGGACAAAACCAATTGAAGCCCCCACATGCAGAATTTGTCGGAAAATTCTAAAAAGTCCAGAGAAAAAAAACAAACAATGCAGTAGGGAGAAAATTGGGCCATTTCCAGTAGTAATAAAATACAGAAAAATATCATAACATTTTTGGGAATTAAATTTAAGCCAAATTCAAGTTGCAATTTTTTGAAAGCAATTTAAAACCCCAAAAGCTGAGCCCAAAAAAAACCCAAGCCCCTCAGCAAAACGGGGGACCTAACCAAAACCCAAAAACTGACACCGGGCCCACTCCCCTTTAAAAGGGGGAAAACCAATGAACAAAACATGCTTTTATTTTTTTTTTTTTTTATTTCACCTTTTTTAAAAAACCAGTTGAGAACAAGTTCTATTTAAACTGCGACTGGCCCAAATAAAGAAAAGCGGCGTTTAAAAACAAAAAACAGATTTACATAGGGGTAAAAAAAAAACAAAGTCAAAAAAAAAAACCAGAAAACATATATACGTGTGTGCAAATGTACAAGTTTGGAGGTTAAGGCAATAAAAGGCTATAGTGCAAAAAAAAAATTAAAATTTAGTATTAACACTGGAATGATAGTGTGAAGGATGATGTGAAATAGAGTTTAGGGGGGTTTAAAAAATAGCAAAAAAAAAACAATATAGGGATGGGGGTTTAGGGGGGCGGGCTCATTTCAGATGGGGTGTACGGGTGCGTGCGGTAAGGTGCCTGAAAACTGATGTTTAAAAAGTAGGAGGGAGAAAAGTGTCTCCATTTCGAGATTTGCAATTTTTCCCAGTCATGGCAGCAGAAAAATGGGGGGAAGGCGGCCAAAGGAGGTTTTGGCTTTGGGGGGTGACCTGAGTAAGCTGGAGCGCAGACTAGGGGGGGGGGTGCTATGGTGACCAATGAGCTAGTAAGGCGGGGGGGTTTGTGCAGTGATTATAGATGGCCGGGACCCAGGGGGTTTTGGCGCGAATATGTAGTGAGGCCCACCCAAAAAGAGGTACAGGTCACAGTGGTGGGTGATAGGGGTTTTGGAGAAAAAACGGATGGCATGGTAGAACATCCAATTTGCTGAGTAGAGGTTGGAGGCTATTTGTAAAGACTCGCCAAAAGGCAAGGATCGGTGGGAAAATTTTACGGGGGTTTTTGGGAGCATGAGTGAAGGAGGTTTTTCGAAAAGGAAACCGATTTAGTTTAATTTGGATTGGGATTTTTAAATGTGAGTCTGGAAGGAGATTTTACAGTTAACCCGACACTAAATTTTTGAGTTTTCCACTTTTACTCTAGGTCAGACCGTCGAGAGAGTGATTCTAGGGGGTGGGCGGGGGGGGCAAGCAGCTTTGGGTTTGGGGAAGAGAGCTTTAGTTTTATTTTTTAAGGATTGGAGGCTATAAAGGGTGTTTTTGGGCATTGAAGTCGTTTGGGGTTTGTTAACACAGGTCCAATAAAGGGCCCAGATGTATACAAAAGGGTTTGTGTTGCGAGAGGGGGTTGAAGCACCAGCACAAGAGGAGTCTTTGAAACCAGAGAAAAGAGTCGGCCCAAAAATTTTAACCCTGTGGCCCCCCTAGAGACCCATAGGGCCAGACAACGGGGCCCCCCGTTTTTGAAATTTAAAACTCTATTGAGAAGATTTGGTGAACCAGGCGAGGAGTCTTTTGAGAACCCCAAGGCTATTTAGTCCCCAAATAAGAACGGGACCAATCAAAGGACATTTTTACAACTTTGGGAAAAACGAAAAAAAACCCAAAACCCGACTAAATCCCCTTGCCCCTAAACAGAAATATAAAAATTGGTGATTACTCTACTCGTAAAAAGGATTCGAAAAAAAGAGACGATCTTACCAAGTACATGCTGAGGACATAATTGGAAAGAAAGGCGACATGAAAAGACATGGGGTACCAAAAAAGGAGGTATAGTGGTCACGCAAGGGCAGGGGGGAGAAAAAGGGATGCATTTCTCCTTTCTTTTATAAATTTCCCACAAAGAGATTATTATCCAGAAATGACTACATTTTCCAAAATTTTTTTTATTAAACCCAGAGGAAAAAAAATAAAAATACTCATGGGCGAAGGGGCAATGGCCTCGCAGCCAAAAAAAGTATTTGCCTGCCATAGCCCGAGGGGCATGAATAATAAAATTTATAATAAAAAGTAACGTACTTTATTTAATTGTTTTTGCTTATTGTTTTATCATTATTATGTTGTTATATTCCCAAAAAGTTTGGGTATGGTGGTTTAAAGGTAATGTGGGGTTTAATATGGGTGGTGGTAGTAGTGGGTATAAGATGGGGTTTTGTTGTAGACTGATATAATGGGAAGATGACCCTTATTATTATAAGTCCCTGGAGTCCCTGGACATGGTCCTACCCCCCGGGTCCAGCCCTGCGCTCCCTCCCCAAATTTGGCCCTGGAAGGCACTAAATAATAATAAAAAAAATAATAATAAAAAAATAAAATATAATAATATAAAAGGGAAGGTTTTTGCCCGCAGGAAGAAAAAAAAGGGGAAAAATTTGTGGGGGTGTGGTGTTTTGGTTTGGGGGGTTGGTGTGTGGTGTGTGTGTGTGAGGTTCCAGTTCGCCCTTAAGGGGCTCTGAATGTTAACATGATTTTTACGGTTTTGGTTTACAGTGCCCGAGGGGCCCTAAAAAGCCCAAAAGGAAACCCCGGCTGGGAAGTAGTAGTAAAAAAGGAAAAGAAAGGGGGGAAAAAAAAGGAAGGGAAAAAAAGGGAAAAAGAGGGGGGAGGAGGGAAAAAAGGAGGAGAAGAGGGGGGGGGGGAAAAGAAAGGGAGAAGAGAGAGAGGAGAGAGAAGGGAGAGAGGGGGAGGGAAACCCCGAAAGAGGAAAAAGAGAACAGAGGGAAAGGGAGGAAAAAGAGAGGGGGAAAAAGGAGAGGCAGAAGGGGAAGGAGGAGAGGGAGAGGGGGGAGAGAAGAGAAGGGGAGAGGGGTAGAAAAGGAGGGGGAGGAAGGGAAAAAAAAAGAGAAAAGAAAAAAAAAAAAGGGCGGGAAGGAAAAAGGAAAAAAAAGGAGAAAAAAAAATTTTCGGGCAATAGATTTTGGGCCCCCAAGGGGGCAGGGAAGAAAAGAAGAAAAGGGGGGGGGGGGGGAAAAAAAAAAAAAAAAGGGGGGGGGAAAAAGGGAGAAAGGGGGGGGCCCCCCCCCCCCAGGGTTTTTTTTTTTTTTTTTGGGGGGGGGGCCCCCCCCCCCCCCCCCCCAAAAAAAAAAGAAGGGAAAAGGGAAAACGAAAGGGGAAAAGGGGGAAAAGAAAAAAAAGGAAAAAAAAAAAAAAGGGGTTTTTTTTCTTTTTTTTTTTCCCGGGGATCGGAAATCCGGCAAATGAGAGGATCGGAAAGAGAGAAGAGAGAGCGAGAAGTAGCTAGAGAGCGAGAGAGAGAAAGAGAGACAGTAGAGAGAGAGAAAGAGAGAGTAGAAGAGAGAGAGAGAGAGCGGGGATAGAGAGAGAGAGGGAGAGCGAGAGAGAAGAGGAGAAGAGAGGAGGAGAGATAGGAAAGAGAAGAGAGAGAGAGAGAGAGAGAGCGAGCAGAGGAAGAAGAGGAAGAGAGAGAGAGAGAAAAGCGAGAGAGAGAGAGCGAGAGAGATGTGAGCGGGGCGAGGGGATAGATGAGAGCGAGAGGGAGAGAGAGACAAGGGAGAGAAGAGCGATGAGAGAAAGAGAGATGAGAGAAGGCGAAGGTAGAGGAGGGAAGAGGAATGAGAGAGAGAGAGAGACGAACGGGAGAGACGAGAGAGAGAGAGAGAGAGAGAGGAGAGAGAATACCTTACTATGAATATATAATATAATAGATAGGCTATCTGTTAGGTATTAGTCAGATATTCTGGCTATAACTCTACTATGGATAATCTATCTATCATCAATAGCTCTATATGATACAGCTCTTTCGTATATCTATATCTCAATGGATCTGCGGGCGATGCTGCGCTATGAGCTCTTTAGCGTCGCTCTATGGAGAGAGACAGAGAGAGAGAGAGAGAGACGAGAGAGAGCAGAAGAGAAAAGGGGGGACGTAGAGAGGAGCCGAGAGAGTAGAGAGAGAGGAGAGAGAGAGAGAGAGAGAGATCGCGAGAGGGTTTAGAGTATGTGATAGGGATATATAGAGTGATATGATAGAGGTCTCTCGCTATCTCTCTCTCTCTCTCTCTATCTTCTCTCATCTCTCTCTGCTCTCTATTCTCTCTCTCTCAATTCAATTCAATTAATATTTCAATTCAAGGGGTTTATTGGCAGGGGAACATTTTTATGTAACATGTGCCAAACAAGTGAAATAGATCATAAACAAAAGTGAAATAAACAATAAATAAAAAAAAACAGTAAACATTAAAGTTCCAAAAGAATAAAGATATTTAAAATGTCATATTATGTGCAAATAGTTAAAGCACAATTGGAAAAGAAATAAACATAAATATGGCTTGTATTTACAATGTTGTTTGTTCTTCACTGGTTGCCCTTTTCTTGTGTTAAAAGGTTCAGTCACAGTGGTCAGGTATTCTGCCACTGTGTACTCTCTGTTTAGGACCAAATAGCATTCCAGTTTGCGCTGTTTCTTTGTTAATTCTTTCCAATGTGTCAAGTAATTATCTTTTAGTTTTCTCATGATTTGGTTGGGTCTTATTGTATTGCTGCCCTGGGGCTCTGTTTGTGTTCTCTCTCTCTCTCTCTCTCTCTCTCTCTCTCTCTCTCTCTCTCTCTCTCTCTCTCTCTCTCTCTCTCTCACATGCGCACACACACACATTCTGCAAACTCCCCAGACTAGTACACTTGAGTTGTGCTAACATAACACACTACAACCCACACTTCCTAAGCAGATCAAGAGGGGTCTTATTTTTCTTCAGTACATAGACACCCAGCATCCCACCCAGTCCTGCCTACCTGTGGAGAGAGAGACCACCTGTGGATCACTCCAGTGGGTGTTGATTGACTACAGAAAACAAACATGTTTTATTGTCACATACGGATAGGTGCAGTGAAATGTGTTGTTTTACAGCCATAGTAGTACGGCGCCCCTGGAGCAAATTAGGGTTAAGTGCCTTGCTCAAGGGCACATCGACTTATTTTTCACCTTGTCAGCTCGGTTATTTGAAGCAGCGACCTTTCAGTTACTGGCCCAATGCGCTAACCGCTAGGCTACCTGCCGCCCACAGACATGCTCCAATAGAGAGCACAGATCAGCCCCCTCACTGAAACCCAAAGGGCCATCTGCACCATCATGGTTATTGTGTGTGACCATGCATTAAGCTGTTTGATGTTTTCCCTGGGTCTACTGTTGATCAGGCCGGTGCTGGGCCCAGACAGGCAGAGTATATCATGTTGGTCAGGCCGGTGCTGGGCCCAGACAGGCAGAGTATATCATGTTGGCCAGGCCGGTGCTGGGTCCAGACAGGTAGAGTATACCATGTTGGCCAGGCCGGTGCTGGGCCCAGACAGGCAGAGTATATCATGTTGGCTGGTGCTGGGCCCAGACAGGCAGAGTATATCATGTTGGCCGGTGCTGGGCCCAGACAGGCAGAGTATATCATGTTGGCCGGTGCTGGGCCCAGACAGGCAGAGTATATCATGTTGGCCAGGCCAGTGCTGGGCCCAGACAGGCAGAGTATATCATGTTGGCCGGTGCTGGGCCCAGACAGGCAGAGTATATCATGTTGGCCGGTGCTGGACCCAGACAGGCAGAGTATATCATGTTGGCCAGGCCGGTGCTGGGCCCAGACAGGTAGAGTATATCATGTTGGCCAGGCCGGTGCTGGGCCCAGACAGGTAGAGTATATCATGTTGGCCAGGCCGGTGCTGGGCCCAGACAGGCAGAGTATATATGTGGCCGGTGCTGGGCCCAGACAGGCAGAGTATATCATGTTGGCCAGGCCGGTGCTGGGCCAGACAGGCAGAGTATATCATGTTGGCCGGCAGTGCTGGGCCCAGACAGGCAGAGTATATCATGTTGGCCGGGTGCTGGGCCCAGACAGGCAGAGTATATCATGTTGGCCAGTGCTGGGCCTGGGCCCAGACAGGCAGAGTATATCATGTTGGGCCGGTGCTGGGCCCAAACAGGCAGAGTATATCATGTTGGCCAGGCGGGCTGGGCCCAGACAGGCAGAGTATATCATGTTGGCCGGGCAGTGCTGGGCCCAGACAGGCAGAGTATATCATGTTGGCCGGGCGGGCTGGGCCCAGACAGGCAGAGTATATCATGTTGGCGGCCGGTGTTGGGCCCAGACAGGCAGAGTATATCATGTTGGCGGGATGGGCCCAGACAGGCAGAGATATATGTTGGCTGTGCTGGGCAAGACAGGAGGTAGTATAAACATGTGGCCGGTGCTGGGCCAGACAGAGAGATATCATGTTGCCGGTGCTGGGCCCAGGCAGGCAGGTATATCATGTTGGCCGGTGCTTGGCCCCAGACAGGCAGAGTATATCATGTGCCGGCGGTGCGGCCAGAAAAGGAGAGTATATCATGTTGGCCGTCTGATGGCCAGACCCGGGCTAATTCATTTTTGGCGGTGCTGGGCCCGACAGGCCCGAGATATCATGTTTGGCGGGTGGGCCAGACGGCAGGTATACATGTGGCCGTGTGGGCTCACAGGCGAGTATTATGGCGGTGTGGCTCAGACAGGAGAGTATCTGTTGGCCGGTGCTGGGCCCGACAGGCAGAGTATATCATGTTGGCGTGTGCTGGGCCAGACAGGCAGAGTATATCATGTTGGCCGGTGCTGGGCCCAGACAGGCAGATGTTATATCATGTTGGCCGTGTCTGGGCCAGACAGGCAGAGTATATCATGTTGGCGGTTGCTGGGCCCAGACAGGCAGAGTAGATCATGTTGGCCGGTGCTGGGCCCAGACAGGCAGAGTATATCATGTTGGCCAGGCCAGTGCTGGGCCCAGACAGGCAGAGTATATCATGTTGGCCAGGCCAGTGCTGGGCCCAGACAGGCAGAGTATATCATGTTGGCCAGGCCAGTGCTGGGCCCAGACAGGCAGAGTATATAATGTTGGCCAGGCCGGTGCTGGGTCCAGACAGGCAGAGTATATCAAGGGAACTGGGAGAATATGGTGGTGTGTGAGTCAGAGAGAGGGGATACAGTATAAAGCTCTTAAGCCATCTAAAAATAATGTTACCATCACAGGATAGGTATATCACCTCAATACTTTATTAAATAATCATCATCATCATCATCGTAATGAAAGGAAACATAAAACAGTATTAGACATACATGAGGTGGCTTTACAAAAGTCACTCAGGGCTCAATTCATTTTAATTTCTTCCAATGCCATTGTCAGTGCCAGCGGCAGGTAACCATGGAAACCTGGGGTAAGGGTATGGGTGGCATCAACAGTGAGAGACTGAAGGACACAGGTCTGTGAGAGGCTTGGCAACAGGTGAGTCTCTAACTCAACACACTAATCATTCAGACAGTCTTTTGTTTAGGTTTTGTTCTAAGACTATTTTCCTTTCACAGAGTATCAAACAGAAGTATAATGTAGCCTTGGAAACAATCTGAGACGTCGATAAGTTGCAGTGCTGCTGGTTAAGACGAGGGTGAGGACCGGAGGTGCTTGTTTGGAGCCGCCTGCCTGTGACTATCTGTGCCCCGATTCATCATATGTTGTTGCATTGATGAGGCTTCACCATTGATCCCGTAAAAATGTATGCGCACATGACTGTAAGTCGCTTTGGATAAAAGCGTCTGCTAAATGGCATATTATTATTATCCCATTGATGAGGCTTCACCACTGACCCCATTGATGAGGCTTCACCACTGACCCCATTGATGAGGCTTCACCACTGACCCCATTGATGAGGCTTCACCATTGATCCCATTGATGAGGCTTCACCACTGACCCCATTGATGAGGCTTCACCATTGATCCCATTGATGAGGCTTCACCATTGATTCATAATTTGATATACACACAGTAGCCTTTACAAAATGGCAGTGCTTTTGTCTCTGTGATGTTGCCGTGAGAAGATTTACCCGCCCCTGCTTCACAAGAATCCTCAGAGGAAGTGAGACAGGCACAAATGTGAGACAATTCCTTCCTATAGAAGGCTAGGGATGAATCCCAAATGGCACCCTATTCCCTATAGGGCTCTGGTCAAAAGTAGTGCACTATAAAGGGAATAGGGTGCCATTTGTGACGCATGCCCAGCCTCTCAGACTCATCATCCTCCCTCCTGACCCACCTTACCATCAAAATGACACCAATTATACCACCACTTTTAAATCACATCTACCATGTTGAGACGGTGTGGTGTAAAATAAAACTGTGTCTGACTTCTAGTCGTGCACTAAGACATAGCGGCGGTGGAAACGTGTGACAAAAACTATGTCATCATTGGTCGTGTGATTTCACATGCTTCAGGATGTTAAAGACAAAAGGTTCATCATAACAAAACCAGAGTACTGTAGATTCTCTGTCATTCAGTAATATAACATCCACAACCATAATAATACTTTAAAAAGTTGCAGTTATAATTATAACAGTCATCATGACATTAATTACAAACTAATACTGTTTGACATCAGATCTTCTCCCACGACTAGGGATGAACTGATTTAAGTTAAGGAAATAAAATGCACATAGAAAAACACATTAACGTTGTGTAGAATAAGCTAATCAAAACAAAAAAAGTGGATCTGATTGAATAGAGGCCCCTAGTCTATCTGGCTGGCATGCACACCACCACAGGTAGCTAGACATGACCTGTGTTTTGTTTTGTTTTTCCTGTCGTCGGTTCATTTGGTCACACAGCAACATATTTACACCGTACAATTTTCTACTTCCTTTTAAACGGGATAGTTCAAACCAATATGTAATTTGAACTACACCTTTAAATCTGCACTTAGACAGACTGTTATAGGTGTGCCATTGAAATTCTACTTCAACATACTGTAGCAGCGAAACACACTGAGATAACAAGTTCACCACAACTCACAGAGCAACGGTGATTTAGACCTACGCCTCATATGCCCCAAAAACCAAAGCTCACATTAGGCCAAACTAAGGTCTGCCCCAGCTGAAATATTCTGGAAGGTACAATAGTCTTCACTTGAATTCCATTCCCATCCATGTAATTCATAGAATAGGCGTAGGGTCCAAGTCTCCTGTTTTATTCCTGGTTGAGGCTCCAATATTCAGTCCATTTGTAGTGAAGGAGAATCCCTTGACCAATGGGGTGGCTAGAAATATCCAGTCGGCCAATCAGTAGCTTCATCCAACAGTTAAACCGAGTTCCAGGGTTCTCCTGAGGTATTTGATTGGACAGATAGTCACAGTTCCTGTTGGGAGTAGTATGATATGATTGGTTGGAAACAGAGTGAAAGGTCCCCGTTTAGGCATAAGATTGGATGAACAGTGATATGATCCAGCTCAAGGTTTTGTTTGGGTTGGTGGAGGTAAATGAGATAAGGGGTAATCTTCTTAAGGTGAGGGTGGACAGGGTCAAGGTGGATGTCACATTATAATGACATGATAACAGAATTAAACTGAAGCGTCTACAGGGCCTCTGTGTCTCTCTCTATATCTCCATGAACTACTGCCATTCAGTGAGTTTGTGGTTGTCATGGACAACAGGGTAGTCCCATAGCTGTAACCTGTATGGGCCTGATTGGGATGTGGCTCTAAGGTCGTACATACTCATGAAACATCATTTTACGATTTCCCTGAAAGACGCAATAATATTACATGAGGAGTACATGACTTAACTAGAAGGCTCCTGGTGGAAGCAAAACTCTCCCAATACTATGACCCACATGTAATCCCTTTCACCCCAACAGACAGTAAAGAATACAACCTAATCCCTATCACCCCTACAGACAGTATAGAATACAACCTAATCCCTATCACCCCTACAGACAGTATAGAATACAACCTAATCCCTATCACCCCTACAGACAGTAAAGAATACAACCTAATCCCTATCACCCCTACAGACAGTATATAATACAACCTAATCCCTATCACCCCTACAGACAGTATATAATACAACCTAATCCCTATCACCCCTACAGACAGTAAAGAATACAACCTAATCCCTATCACCCCTACAGACAGTATATAATACAACCTAATCCCTATCCCCTCTACAGACAGTATATTATACAACCTAATCCCTATCACCCCTACAGACAGTATAGAATACAACCTAATCCCTATCACCCCTACAGACAGTATAGAATACAACCTAATCCCTATCACCTCTACAGACAGTATATAATACAACCTAATCCCTATCCCCTCTACAGACAGTATATAATACAACCTAATCCCTATCCCCTCTACAGACAGTATATAATACAACCTAATCCCTATCACCCCTACAGACAGTATAGAATACAACCTAATCCCTATCCCCTCTACAGACAGTATATAATACAACCTAATCCCTATCCCCTCTACAGACAGTATATTATACAACACAGCACCATAGAAAGAGGCCATAGAACAACATCACTAAGGCTCTGTGTGTCTGGCCAACAAACACCACCATTCTATCTGCTCCTGTCTTCAAAATGGGGTTGAAAATCCAATCAAATGGAAACAGCCAGGAAACAACAGTTGAGTGTGTGGAAAGAAAGGGATAAGGGAGAGGAGGAGGAGAGAGGAGGAGGGGGTGAGAGGGGGGAGGTGAGAGGAGGAGGCGGTGAGAGGGGGGAGGTGAGAGGAGGAGGGAGGAGGGAGGAGAGAGGAGGAGGGGGTGAGAGGGTGGAGGAGAGACCCGTCTGGGCAGGAGAGGAGCATCTCTGACCCTGAAACATGTTCTCTAGGCCACCTACCACCCGTCTGGGCAGGAGCGGAGCATCTCTGACCCTGAAACATGTTCTCTAGGCCACCTACCACCCGTCTGGGCAGGAGAGGAGCATCTCTGACCCTGAAACATGTTCTCTAGGCCACCTACCACCCGTCTGGGCAGGAGAGGAGCATCTCTGACCCTGAAACATGTTCTCTAGGCCACCTACCACCCGTCTGGGCAGGAGAGGAGCATCTCTGACCCTGAAACATGTTCTCTAGGCCACCTACCACCCGTCTGGGCAGGAGAGGAGCATCTCTGACCCTGAAACATGTTCTCTAGGCCACCTACCACCCGTCTGGGCAGGAGAGGAGCATCGCTGACCCTGAAACATGTTCTCTAGGCCACCTACCACCCGTCTGAGCAGGAGAGGAGCATCGCTGACCCTGAAACATGTTCTCTAGGCCACCTAACACCCGTCTGGGCAGGAGAGGAGCATCTCTGACCCTGAAACATGTTCTCTAGGCCACCTACCACCCGTCTGGGCAGGAGAGGAGCATCTCTGACCCTGAAACATGTTCTCTAGGCCACCTACCACCCGTCTGGGCAGGAGAGGAGCATCTCTGACCCTGAAACATGTTCTCTAGGCCACCTACCACCCGTCTGGGCAGGAGAGGAGCATCTCTGACCCTGAAACATGTTCTCTAGGCCACCTACCACCCGTCTGGGCAGGAGAGAAGCATCTCTGACCCTGAAACATGTTCTCTAGGCCTAGGACAGCAGCTCAGTCACCTTGGTTCTATTAACTGACAGCAACCCATAGCACTCTCAGCCAGGATCAGAGTGAAGAGACAGAGAGGTTGTTTTGCAACCAGATCTAACAGCATCTGTCTGAGTAAGACGCTTGCCCTGTCACGAGAGGACAGCAGGTGTAACTCTCCCTTTACGTTCGTATTGTAGGGCCTAAATGGCACCCTACTCCCTACATAGTGCACTACTTTTGACCAGCGCCCTACTGGTCCAATGAACCCTATGGGCCATTTGGGACGCCTCCCCATGTCTAGGTGTTTTTCTACATTCTACACACCAGACTGTCTTTCATGCTGTAGCGGTTGTTTTGCTCATTAGCAGTCTAACAGTCTGTCATTGGCCAGTAGGTAATGAGTGGGTCCAAACGTCCTTATACAGATTGGTGGGGAACCTTAGGCTCCTCATCCAGACATTAACAGATTAGTGGGGAACCTTAGGCTCCTCATCCAGACATTAACAGATTGGTGGGGAACCTTAGGCTCCTCATCCAGACATGGGACCCTCATAGGTCTTGGTGCTCGGTGGATGATGAGGGGGATCTGTCTTTTTAAACCCTCTAAAAACGTTTTTCTTACAGGCTGCTATTATGACTGCGGTGGTAGATGACGTCTGAAGGTTGATGTAATGTAGGGTCTTGACCCAATGAAGGGGATTTTAACATTTTAACATTCAAATTCTCTTTTGTCTGTTACTTTTACTTTGTTCATATATTTTATTTTTTTTTAAACATTTTTTTTTGGGAAACCAAGATAAATAGATGTGTATGTGCACAGCTTGTAGACAGAGAAAACACAACCCTCTGGCCTCTGGTCTGGTCCTGACAGACACACACTAACACATTGGCACACGACCTAGATTAAAAATGTGTGAACCAGAAAGGCTTCATGTTGTAAAGAGCTAAACAACAAGGCAGTGGTTGTGTCCCTAATGGGACTCTATTCCCTATGTAGTGCACTACTACCCTATGGGCCCTGGTCAAAAGTAGTGCACTATAAACGTTATAGGGTGCCCTTTGAGTCCCTAGAAGCTGCTTCATGGCAGCCGAGGACTTGTGTGTGTGTGTGTGTGTGTGTGTGTGTGTCTGTGTGTGTGTGTGTAGTTAAAGCCTAGGCCAGCCAGTTACTGAACATCTAGGTACAGATGTGTCTAGAACAGAGGTGGATGGAGGGGGTGTGGCTGTATTGTAGAATAGAGGGGGACAGAGGTGGATGGAGGGGGTGGGGCTGTATTGTAGAATAGAGGGGGACAGAGGTGGATGGAGGGGGGTGGGGCTGTATTGTAGAATAGAGGGGGACAGAGGTGGATGGAGGGGGTGGGGCTGTATTGTAGAATAGAGGGGGACAGAGGTGGATGGAGGGGGTGGGGCTGTACTGTAGAATAGAGGGGGACAGAGGTGGATGGAGGGGGTGGGGCTGTACAGTAGAATAGAGGGGGACAGAGGTGGATGGAGGGGGTGGGGCTGTACAGTAGACTAGAGGGGGATGGAGGGGGTGGGGCTGGAGGAAAAAGGGAGGCGAGGAGGAGGAGAGGAGGAGGAGGAGGGTGGTGCCAGAGTAAGAAGGGAGGCGCGAAGGAGGAGAGGAGGAGGAGGGTGGTGCCAGAGTAAGAAGGGAGGCGCGAAGGAGGAGAGGAGGAGGAGAGGTAATCTCGTTAATGCCACAGCAGCAGTGGGCAGGTGCCCTGGTGACAGGCACAGCCGGGGAACAAAAGACTGACGGGGTAAACAGCTGATGACCCTCACTCGCTACCCACTGCACAACACACACACACACACCACACACACACACACACACACACACACACACACACACACACACACACACACACACACACACAAAATAAGGGCGTACTTTGCCTCCACCAGGAGACCCCTTACATGAAATGATAGCTGGAGAGTTAGAGACAAACGGCCCTGCACCCTACAGGCGTTCCAAATCACACCCTATTCCAAATGACACCCTATTCCTATGGGACCCTGGTCAAAAGTAGTGCACTATTTAGGAAATAGTTGGATCTGTTGAGTTCTATCAAACTCATCTATTTATAAGTAATTATGTCCATGATCTTTTAGGTAACAATGAAATGCCATTCCCTTGGGTTGTTAGTGACCCAACCAATCACTTTTTATAACCTCTGACCTGACTCTGCATGTTGTTGATCTGACACTAACAACTGACCCATGTAAACAGATGTAGCGATCACATTCAGATAGGGAGTATTGGCTGTGGTAGAGGGTGGAGAGGGGAGGGGGGAGAGAGGGAGGAGAGGGAGGGTGGAGAGGGGGTAGAGGAGGGGGGAGGATTTCAGTTTATTTTCCCCCAGCTCACCGAGACTCAAGAGGTGAGAGTGGGGTCACCAAGGACAGGCGGGCTAAAAAGTAATTCAAGTAAAATCAGGTGTCTTCCGTAAAACACAGAAGGGCTTGTGTTGAAAACACAACATAAAGGCCCCAACCCTATTGATGACACATGCCAATTTCTGATCGTGTCTTAGGGGGCAACAGTTTCCCCCCTGTTGTAATATGGATGGCTCATAGATAAAACAGTGTCTAGGGATATACCATAACACCCTCCAAATCAACTCTGGACCTCAAAGCCCCCTCTAATGAGGGACTGGTTTAGACCTGGGACACCAGGTGGGTGCAATTTTAATGATCAGGTAGAACAGAAAGCCAGCAGGCTCCGGACCTCGTAGGGTCAGCGTTGAATACCACTGCCGTAAGATAATGGGGGGGGGGGCATGACAAGCAGCTGATGGAATGATCCAACCGTGTCAGTGACCATACAGACCACAGTCATAATAGGCCAGTAGGTTCCATCCCCCTTGTGTTACATGCTTGGATGTAGGGGACACATGGGGATGGGGATTGGGGGGGTTGTTTGGCAGGGGGGGGTGGGGGGGGGGGGGGGGGGGATTAGGGGGGTTGTTTGGCAGAGAGGGGGGGGGGGGGGGTGGACATGGAGATGGGGATTGGGGGGGGTTGTACCCCTCTACCCCTCCTCTCACCGGTCCAGTATGCAGCTGTAGTCCTGTGGGCCGCAGCCCCCCTCACTCTTCAGCTCGGCAAACACCTGGGTGAAGAAGTGGGGATCGGCGTTGATGCGCAGCATCTTGGCGCTGGTGGTGTCGATGATGGCAAGGCATCGGTCCCAGAACGCCTCTTTGCCAGCCTCCACCAGGAAAGGCTTCAGTGGGTAGGAGATCTCGTTGCCCATGTAGGAGTAGGAAAGGTAGAGGCAGGTGAGCAGCGTGGCCTGAAGCTCGTGCTCCGACGCCACCAGGTCCCCATCCACCACATTTCGACACAGCATGTAGACAAACACTACGTTGGCCGGCGTCACGAAGGCCTGGTCCTGCCAGCCCTGGAGGAGTAGAGAGTGGTCCACCGCCCGCAGCCACAGCACCGGGTCTGCCGGGGAGAGGTGCTTCAGCCGATAGCAGCGGCCACACAGGAACTCACCCAGACAGCGGAGGAGTTCACTAGTGGACGCCTGGATGATGACGCGCTTGGGGGACGAAGCGCCCATTCCTTGATGGGGCACCTTCTTGACGGAGGGTAGCTGCTGGGGTTTAATACCCATCTCATAGCTACAGTGCCCCTGGCCGAAGCCTATCCCCAGGCCTTGTCCTGCTGGCCTGTTGTAGCTGGAGAGGTTGGCACAGGATAGAGATTTCTTGACATTCTCCTGGTTGAGATGCAACATCGGGTCCTTCTGGTAGATGTTGTTGTTGTTGTTGAGGGGGTCTCCGAGCAACCCCGGGCCCCCAGAACATTTCTTAGAGCTCCCTCGTTTCTTGGTGGTGGCAACCAGGCGTTTCCAGGTGAGCGCCGGGAGGAAGATTGACTGGCCCCGTTTCAGGCCACCGGTGTGATCTTTCTGAGTGTTGAGCGATCGGCTGCTCAGGCTCGGGTAGTGGTTGAGGGAACCGGGCCGCGTGTCGTAGTAGCTGTTCTTCCTGGATGCAGGGGACAGTGATAATACTGCGCCCATGGTGAGTCAGTGATGTATTATACTGGCTTTGTGGGGTCGGATTTGGACAGGGTTGAGATGGAGGCACAGTTCTCTCCTGTTTAACGCTTTAAGTTTAGTTGAATTTAGAGACTTAAACGTTTTTCCAGTTGATGCTGACACTATTCAAATGCCCATGATGACACTGCCACTATCTGCAACACAAGAACAGGAAACGTATGATGTTGAGAATTAAAAAGCAAATAGCCTACTTAAACTTTGAAAATAATACATTTGTGTTTTTCTCTCTCAAACATTTACATTTGCTAATGCCCTGTCAAGCAGCGCTGTGCACCCGTGTCCCACCAGGTTGCTATTCGCACAAGCACATCAATACATACAGTGCCTTCAGAAAGTATTCATACCCGTTTACTTATTCCACATTTTGTTGTGTTACAGCCTGAATTCAAAATGGATTAAATCAATTGTTTGTCTCACCAATCTACACACAATACCCCATAATGACAAAGTGAAAACATGTTTTTACACATTTTTGCTAATTTATTGAAAATGTACTTACACTCCTGAGTACTCACACCCCTGAGTCAAAACATGTTAGAATCACTTTTGGCAGCGATTACAGGTGTGAGTATTTCTGGGTAAGTCTCTAAGAGCTTTGCACACCTGGATTGTACAATATTTGCACATTATTATTTTTAAAATTCTTCATTCTCTGTCAAGTTGGTTGTGGCTCATTGCTAGACAGCCATTTTCAAGTCTTGCCATAGAAGCCGATTTAAGTCAAAACTGTAACTAGGCCACTCCAGTGTATATTTGGCCTTGTGTTTTAGGTTATTGTCCTGCTGAAAGGTGAATTTGTCTCCCGGTGTCTGAACCAGATGTTCCTCTAAGATTTTGCCTGTGCTTAGCTCTATTCCATTTCTTCTTATCATAAAGAACTCCCTAGTCCTTGCCGATGACAAGCATACCCATAACATGATGCAGCCACCACCATGCTTGAAAATATGAAGAGTTGTACTCAATGATGTGTTGTGTTAGATTTGTACCAAATATAACGCTTTGTATTCAGGACATAAAGTTAATTTCTTTGCACATTTTTTGCAGTTTTACTTTAGTGCCTTATTGCAAACAGGATGCATGTTTTGGAATATTTTGTATTCTGTACAGGCTTCCTTCGTTTCACTCTGTCAATTAGGTTAGTATTGTGGAGTAACTACAACGCTGTTGATCCATCCTCAGTTTTCTCCTATTACAGCCATTAAACTCTAACTGTTTTAAAGTGGAACCAGCAGCATCTTAACTACTTTGCAGATATGAAACAAACAGACAATCATAATATCAGTCAAAAAATATCAAATTCCCAGTTTATGCTAGAAAATCAACTTTATAAGCAGTTTTAAAAATAGATTATATTTGACTCAAAATTCCATGTTGGTAGAATAGATGGATGCAGTTCAATGCATGATTAATATCATTCACAAATACATTTCTTGGTAGTCCCAAAAATATTGCTATCAGGTTGTAAATCACAACTGGCCTGGTACATTGTTTGCTGCCTCCATCCATTCGGGATGCACTATTTCAGTTTCAATGACTCAATATGTTGGACAAAAACAGACTAATGTAACTAAGGCTGGGAATGTCAATACAATCAAACTAGCAAGGGCAATGACCACAAGTCAGTCATAACGTGGCTAATAGGCTAGCGTACCTATTTATGTAGCTATTTATTTAGCAAGCTAAAAACACGGAGCCTAACGTTAGCTAGCTAACTAGCTAGCTAGCTAGCTGCTGGGAGGATGTCATATCATTGGAGGAGTGGGTGAGTGACCGACTTTCCCCCCTAATCATAGCCGTGGGAAGTAGGGGTGCTGAGGGTGCTGCAGGACCCCCTGAAAAATGCTAATAATTTTTTATTTTATAATTATTTATTTTTTTCTCACAAAAGTAGTGCACTGGGCCTTTAATTGTCCTGCATTAGCGGATCGATACAGCCGTCTCCCCCCCCCCCCATCAAATCACCCTCTTCTGAGTGTGCCAGAGAGCACAGAATAACTGATTAATTTACAAACGCGCAACATCCACTGAATATGACCGGTGTCAGTAAACGTCGGCAAAAAAAGTAATTAAATTGTTGCCGGCAGCACAGTTAGTCACTAACGCTCTAGATAACATGTAAAAACAGCCTAACCAGCTCTGCTAGGGCGAGTAAAATGGTCAGAGTTAGGTGTTCTCTCATTTGGGAGTTTGTAGTGCAGTTTTTCCATGCATAGAACTACGGATAGAAAAAAGATGGTGGAAGCGGATGATGAAGTGGATTCTGAATCTAATGGGGGTAGAATCAAGGAGAATTTGAATATTGTCCAAAAGAAAGGAAAACGGAGCAAAGTAGAGTACAGTGATGAGAACGTCACTTCGTATCTAGTAGGAGTACGGTTTGTTAATGAGGAGCAGCTGATTGAATTACCAATCTTGAGGAATCCATTTGAGATATCCAAACTGGTGGAGAGAGTGCTGGGTGGAGTGAAGGCAGTGAGGATCACGAGAGGCGTTTGAAGTGTTGTGTGTGTCTCTTAGGAACAGGGCACCCCTCAAGGGGGTTATATCTGGAGTCTCGTGGGAAGTAGATGTTGAAGAGATGAAAAATATTCCTGGAGTGATTGATGCACGTTGGATGAATTGTGTGTTGAATGAAGAAAAAGTGAAGTCTATCTGTTCTTTTGTTTTTTGATATGGAGTTTAGGGTTTGAATGGTGCTCCTGAAGAGTCCATGGTGGTGGATAGGCCTTCACTGCAGGCTGCAGGGGATGTCTTTCACCAGCAGGATCCTGACATTTTAAAGGTTAAGAAGGTGGACTTTGTAGCTTTTATAGCTATGGTGATAAATGGCACTGCCAAGGTGGAGAGAAGGTCCAGGAAGATAGAAATCATTGTGGAAGCGGTGGAGAGGTTCCTGGGGCTGAAAGATTTCTCGGCGGAGGAGTTACATGGAATATTGTCACAAGCCGTACCACCCCCTCAGGGCCTAGAGCCGGAGAAGGGGGATATGGAGAATTGAAAGAAGGAAGAAGTGGGAGTTTTGTTTTGTTTTGTTATTGTACCATTTTTATTTGGGTGGATTAAGTTAGTTTCCCTATCACGTATGGATTTTCTTTTTACCTTGTTTTGGTTTCAACCCGTCCAGTCGGTGGCGGCAATACACCTTTTTGGGTTGTAGTCCGCCATAAAACCCACATAAGAAGAAGAAGAAGAAGAAGTTCTCTCATTTGTGTCTGGAAGCAGTTAGCAAGCTAGCCAACCCAGTTAGCTTGGGTGCTTGACTGCCGTTGTGAGGAACGCTTCGATCAACACTACTACTCGGCCAGAGCGTCCAGTGTGCACTCTAAACCCTCGGACAGCGAAACCCTCTGAATTTACGAACAGACAATCTGACAACGCTCTGAATTTACGACCCAGAGCACACTCTGACACACAGGAGGCAATTTACGAACTCACCCTTAGTTGTCAATGAAATGTATTTGGCGTCAATCAAATGGGCGGACAGGCAGGCAAGTTCCCATCAAGTCGTCAAAACGTGGATGGGTTGGGACAAGCATGCATGGGCAGGCGAGCTACAGAAGGACAAGCAGGTTACTACACCCCATCGTTTATCAGAGCAATTCTGATGGCCAACTAGCTGAAAAAGTTTAAGATGTTTTGTCTAATGTTCCCTCGCTAGATTTTAGCTCATCTCGCTCTGGCATTAGTTGTTGATCTTGTTGCTGTTGATGTGCATAACTGAGGGAGAGATAGCCTACCTTTTCATGGTTGTTTGATCAATAGGACTGTAAAGTTCCCAAATGTAAGTGGACTCCCATGGTATTTACATATTTGCAGAAATCCATTCAGGTGTATTTTGTGTCTTTTGGCGAATGCGTTCGTTCTAATGATCTAAAGTCGCACTGTTGCTACTGCCAGTTCAAAGTGAATGATGGCAGGCCTGTGTGGCAAATTGTTTATTTGCATAAAGGCCTACAGTAGCTCTGATTGGCTATGGCTCACTGGTCTGCGTAGACTCTGGTCCTGGACGAGACAGCTGTTTTTTTAGGTTTTATTTACTGCAGTGTCTATTAATTGTCACAAATGCCTTACTGTACGTCATCCCCAAACATTCTATGAATTTATGAAAACATGAAAATTACCATATCTAAGTACTAGCTTGTCAGAAAATGTAAAATATATATATATATTTTACATTTTCTGACAAGCTAGTACTTAGATATGGTAATTTTCATGTTTTCATAAATTCATAGAACGTTTGTATATATATAATATTCTTCCTGAGGCATATGAACAGATTTTAATAAGATTTCATTTTGCTAAAATGCTGTCAGTTCCACTTTAAAGTCACCATTGGCCTCATGGTGAATTCCCTGAGCGGTTTCTTTGAGAGGCATTGGAAAACCTCCCTCCCTGGTCTTTGTGGTTTAATATGTGTTTGAAATTCACTGCTTGACTGAGGGACCTTACAGATAATTGTATGTGTGGGCTACAGAGATGAGGTAGTCATTCAAAAATCATGTTAAACACTATTATTGCACACAGAGTGAGTCCATGCAACTTATTATGTGACTTGTTAAGCAAATGTTTACTCCTGAACTTATTTAAGCTTGCCATAACAAAGGGGTTGAATACTTATTGACTCAAGACATTTCAGCTTTCCATTTTTAAATAATTTGTACAAATTTCGAAAAACAATGACACTTTGACATTATGGGGTATTGTGTGTAGGTGACAAAAACAAGTGACAGAAATTTTACATTCAGGCTGTAACACAACAAAATGTTGAAAAAGTCAAGGGGTGTGAATACTTTCTGGCACCGTAGCTCTGCTGGCGTTAGTGCGCGTTCTTCTACCAACCTCTACGAACGCCCTGGATCAGAGCTAGTCCAGACAATTCCCTAGTGTGAGGACCGTTCCTCATGCGCCAGTCTCTCCTTAAGTCACCATACTGACCCAAATAGCCTATCCGCGCAGCTATA